AGTCGAAAGCATGGCAGCGGCTGCAAGCAATATCATCTGCAAATTATGCCGGGCAACAGTAATAGCAAAGAGACGAAGCACTTTTGGAATATGAGGAAAGCCAAAAACAGCGCTTCCTCCACTTCCCTACCATTGATTCATTAGTGCTGAATTATCTCGCAGCTGCTCTATTCCCATGCTGTTGCAGTATATTAATAACTAACCTTCTATTGTGGATGGATTATCTCAGTTGTTCTCCTGACTGAAGTTTGGTCCGTTTACAGCATCCTGCCATGCAATGGCATTTGTCCCTAACCATTAGGAGCCCCCTTGTTAATTTTTATCGAGTGGAAAAAAGTTTGCATTCATCCTTCAGCTTCACTGTGTTTATATTATGCTAACATAGCTGAGATGCTAGCTAACATGTAGCACATCATTATATACCAGCTAACTTCAGTAACCTTACAAAAGTCACTGCTGTTTAGTTTTCTGTCTTCATTTATGTTGGAAGTGGTAGCAGAGCTGTACGTTTTAATTTTTTCAGAAATCTCTCAGTCAGAACATGGTATGAAATGTTTAGGTAGAAACTAGCGAGCTAACTTCCTGATTACTTCTAACTCCGTTGAATTTAATAAATTCTGTTTTCATGGATGCCTGGATGTTAAACTTAATTGTTACACCTGGTAAAGCAGCAACGCTGATCATTTTATTAAAGATGAAAGAATTTAGACAATTTTTAACTCTCAGTGATGCTGCAGGGTTCGTTTGACTTTGGGACCTGAAATGGATGGAGTTTTTGACCCAGATTACTCCAAGGCTCCTGATCACGGTAGCTGTAATGCTCTGACAATCCATCAAGTGGTGCGGCTTCGTAGCTTACCAAAGTTGTACTAAAACATTTTTTAACAGGTTTTTGAGTGCCGTGTACCACATAAAATCGTTTCGAGGTCAGTAAGCACAACCAGAATTCATACATAAGGCACACCGGATTATAAGGCACACTGTCATTTTTTGTTTTTTTTTTAATTACAGGATTTTAAGTGCACCTTATAGTGCGGAAAATACGGTATACATAAGAAAATAATATACCACGATATATATTGTTACTCCACATGCTTCAAATTATACCGCAATATAGATTTAAGGCCATATCGCTCAGCCCTAATTTCAGGTTCTCACAGTTCCAGATAAACTCTTTAAATATCTTGTTTTATGCAACCAAAGGTCCAAAAGACAAAAAAAAAAACAACCCAAAAACAAAACGAACATAAAGCAACAGAGCATCACGTCTGAGCAGCCCAATTTGAGATTTTGCCAAAAAATTTAATTAAAGATTCTACAAAAGGAAGTGCAAAGTTATTGGCCCTATAAGTGAATTCAGACAAATGAGACATGTTTTTCTTTGAATTTGTGGCCCACACTTTTATTGTAGTTAAGGGATGTTAAAAGTGTAACAGGATTATATAAATATTTGGTTAATTAGACAATGTCCATCTGGTCCCTCTCTCCCTCAACCTCTTCTAGCTCTTCTAAGGTGACAGAGACAGCAGTGTTCCTTCTTCACCTGAGAGACATAACCTCTTCAGCATGTCCTGGCTTCAACCCCGGAGTATGTGCCCAGTTACTTGAAACGACTACCCCAGTAAGAGAAGTCTGGGAAGCATCTTAATCAGATGCCTGAACCGCCTTATCTTGCTCCTTTCACTGTGGAGATGCAGTGCTTCTGCCCTCAGCCCCTCTGAAATGACCAAACGCCTCACCCAATCTCTATAGAAGACTCTAGACAAACTTCAGAGAGAATTTTGTTCTTTTCTTCAGTACCCACAGCCTGTAGCTGTTGCGTAGTTGAGGTAAGCTAACAGCTTTTCCTTGAGGCTCAGCTTTCTCTTCAACACAACAGAGCAGAACAGGATCTGCATCAAGCTTTTTCTCCTAACAAAACTGTTTTTAATTAGCAGCAATTAGAGTTTGAAGTAGAGCTATTCTGTTCATTAACAGCTTTGGATTTTTATCCAAGGACTATGGCTTTGCATAATTAACCATTCAAAATAGCTCCTATTTGTCTTTCACTGGGCCTTTGTTCAGCCTCTCTCTTCAGTCTCTGTCCGAAACAAGCTGTTTTCCTCTTTTTAGCTCTCTTCTGATTGGCTGCCCATCACAAACAGGAATCTGAACCCTGTTTACCAAACAAATTTTTTTGCAATTTTGAGATTTTTGTGATTTTAATTTCAGTTTTTTTGTTTTCAGAAAATCGTTCCGGTTAGTGTTTACCCCACATTTGCTGATTTCAGTTCAATTTTATCCTTTAATGTTCAGTTCTAGTTTTCTTGTTGTTACTTTTACTTCATGTGGACACACATTTGTCAGGGCAAATTGTGCAAAACATTCAAAACAGAGTACTTTAAGACAAACACAATACATCTGGGACACATTCACAGTCATGCAGACTTCCCAGACTCAACAAGCATGTTCCTAAATACCTCTTCGTGCTTGCTGTGTTGGCCAATTGGGCCAAATGAACAAAAACTACAACTGAAGTGATGGATGGATATTATAACTGTTTCCAGCCCGACCTCAACACTGAAATGGATACGCAGAAGAAAAATGCTCTTTTTTAACAACTCAATTTAATTATTCTCTAGCTCCCTACGAGCATCTGGTCTGACACACATGTACACACATTAAGTTGCGTGTGGCTGGCATGAAGCTATTGGCTAAATCGCTAAATGTCCAGTGACCGCGAGCCAATCAAATGTCTGCACATGTGCACCACGAGCATCACATCCACAGGCACAGGTGGATGATAAGCCAAGAGCACATCTGATAGTTCCCATAACTGCATGCAATCCATTATTTACATGGAAATGGAGATCAGAGGTCAAAGGTCATAACACAGGCAGCTCAGTATCAATACAGATGTGAGGCAATGAGTAGCTCTGCTAGTCTCACAAGGAAGAAAGAACGGAGGGAGGGATAGATGTCCATCATCTGTTCAGCGTTGCATAACAGGTGAAGCCTGGCAGAACTTTCGGTTGGTGCAGGTCTCCCTCTGTTGGATGAAACTAAAAACTGCACCTCAGAGCACTGAGTCCAAAGACTGTCTGTAGATCAGAGGTGCCACTCGTTGCCAGGACTGCTCACTCTAGTTCACCACAACCACAGAGTGTAGGCGTGGAAAAAGAAATCCTGATACAGTCACAGATTATTAATGTGACATTATGTTTCAAAAAGAGTCATTAATTAATCAATTAATTAAGCCAAAAGAGTAAA